TTATGCTGAAGACTCTGCTTAAAAACTGAGTTCAGCTTATAACAGGGCAAAAGCGAGAAGTAAAGCTGTTCTGGGCTCCCCGCTGTCTTCTCCGAGGACCCAAATCCCTGTATCAGGATAAAAAAGCACATGCATTCTCAACCTTTCCTCTAAGTCACACAGCTCTTGCTGTCCTAGCTACACAAGGCCTTGTTGGTGGCTCGGTGACATGGATGCTAGAGATGAGGGGTGCTCATTTCCTTACATGCTGGCAGACTAAGTGTTAGTTTATCCCCTCATCTTCTGGATATAGTCAAGCTGAACGTTTTAAAAAACTTATGTTTCATATGTTTGTGTTGTTCAGTGATAACAAGTTTAGATTTCTTTTCGGAGAAGAATTTCTATTAGTTAATTACATATGCTTAGTTCCAAGTATATGGGAAAAAAACCACACTTTTTCTGACTCATGACAAAACCAATGGGTCAACAGTCTAAAATATCAAGAGTTCCTTCATATAGCATAATAAAAAAAAAATATGGAGAGATAGGCAGCATTGTTTTCAAACAAATTTACCTTTAGAATCAGAATTAAGACATTTTACCTAACCGAGAAAGTAACTGAGTCACAATAATGCAGTCATTTAGAGACTATGTGCTTGTGATGCTTAACATGTTTTATCAATATGTTACATCGCTTTGTATGAAGTCATGACGAGAATATCACTTATGTTAAATGATGGAGAAATAGCACGGAGGCAGTGCTATATACTCTAAAAATAACACTGCAAGGCTGTATTACCATCTCCATTTTGCAGGTTAGGAAACTATCACACTCTATGACTAGAGCTCGTAAGTGGAAGACCTAACTCAACAATCCTCGTGTTTTCCAAACCCCATTGATTAGAAAGGCAGCAGACCTTTTCAACATGCACATTTAGGAATTTACTATTTCAATAAATATATCTACTAACCCATATGAGTCACTAGGATGAAGGCAGAAAATATAATGTTAGTACAAGTCTATAATCAAACACCAATTAGAAATAATAGGGCAAGAAAAATTTACACAATATTTATAAGATTAAAGATATTATTTAATTTATAAATTCCAAATTAGGGCACATAAACTTGAACAGAAAGGGAAATTTCACCCCACAATTAAACTCTTGTTTAAGTTATTTCTACCATGCTAAGACTTTCTGCTAATTACACAGGTTATTTTTAAAAGCTCAATAAGTTAAGGGTAATAGATCACTGTTTACATTTTTGGGGAAAGTGCTCTTCCCGAACTCCAGTGACACTGCCATGAGGGGAGCTGTCAATCATGACAACTGTCCTTTCTGCAGAACTGGTGAACTAATCATCATCATATCCCATGCCTCAGGCCACTGTGGCTGATCCAAAGATGGGCATGACTCATCTGGAATTACTCCTTGGAATTTTCTAGTTGGTGGAGCATGTTCTCTCCTTCTGGGTTGTGAGAATGTAAGCCATGTCTGAGGCAAGAGTCTACCCTCAAAGGAATACCCTGGCTTGGTAATTAAACTAAACCACAGAGGAGAGTGGAGATGGGAGAGAGAAGAGAGAAAGAGGGAAGAGAGAGAGAGAGAGAGAGAGAGATCGAGAGACAGAGAGACAGAGAGACAGAGAGACAGAGAGACAGAGAGAGAGAAGGAGCAGGAGAGAGGGTACTTAGAAAGACAGTGAAAGAGAGAGGTAGAAACACACCTGACTAACCCCTACAGTCTGCTGTAAGAATTTCTGCATTTAGGCAAGCCACAAGCAAGTCCCACCCTGGCCTTATGTGGTTTGACTGTCTAAACAAATAAAGTCTTTTTGCTTAAGATATCTGAAGTAGGGTTTTTATGACCATTGAAGGGTTTTTATTACCATGATAATTTAACAATAATTAATGATAACTGAATAGAAATGAATAACAATGATAAACTTAAGTTATGTAAGAAAACGTGTTCATTACTTTACTAGTCTTAATTCTTATTTTCATGTCTGTGTCAAATACAGTGATGTAACAAGTCAAATAAGCAAATATTTATGGAGCCATTAAGAATGGAAAGGCACTGGTGGCTTAGTAGGGTAAGAACTATGCCAGAAGTGAAGACATTGGGAAATAAAATCCAAATGCAAACATCAAAAAAAAAAGTTATGGTATAAAATAGAAACAGACATAACATTACACAGCACAGGATTAACTATTAAACAAAAGACACATAGTAAATATTATAGGAATAGAGAGGAGGGAACAATCGCATTGGGGAACATCCCATTTTAGCATCTAAAGTGCTGCCTGAGGTTCGACTCACACTGACACCTACTGTACCAGAGGTTCAATGCCCATAACTGCTTCCTGTCCATGTCTCTCTTCTCTCTCCCATCTTCCAGCTAACTATAGAAAATATAGTATCAAGCTTACGCTAAGGCACGGTGGGCTCCACAGGTATGCTTGTGCAGGCATACACGGCCAGCCGGCTCTCAGGCCTTTACACTCAGTTTAACGATCTGTCATCTTGAACTTGTTAGCAATTTTCGAACAAGGGGTCCAGCATTTTCATTTTGCACTGTTTTCTGGAAATTGTATAGCTGGTCCTGCAGTAAGGAAAGGGACTGCATTTTTCCACAAACAATTCAGGCCAATAGTCTTGCTCTTCAAAGCAGCCTATTTGCTGAGAGAAATAATATATTTCGGAAGTCAAAGGGCAAAGAAGCACTCTCTCACCTGCCATGTGTTCCTCCTTAGCCCTTTATTAAAAGCAAATGATTTAGAAAAATGAGAGGGCTGCAGTGGAGAGAATTTGTAATCTGCCAATTCACAACACTGCCAAAATGAGAGTCAAGTCACCAAGTGTGACTCAAAAAGCCCATAGGATATTTCTAGGATATGACAGCACAGGATGAAGTTTAAAAAAAGGATATTTGATTTTATGAGATATTTAGAGAGTGAAGAAAAGCAAGTTCTGGTCATGTCAAATATATATCATAAATATTACATTGTTAAGCCATATGGTGATTTAGAAACACAACTGCATCTCATGGAGCACAGGCTAGATGGGGACTATGCATGTGAATTTGTCAATTTCAACTTTTCCTCCAAGATAGCATCTCGCCAGCCAGTGTACTGGCGTATGAAGTAGAGTTATAATTAGAGGTCTACCTATGCCCCCGCCCACAGGACGACAGTCTTCCGCTGCAACGCTCGCTTGCCTGATGGGAACAGTTCCTCCAAAACTACAGCTTCACCCGTTTTGTCTCGGTGATGCCTGTACTTCACCAGTTCCAGTCTCATTAGGACTCCAATTCCAGATATCACGCAAATGACGATGGAAGGTGAAATACTAACCTGGTTTGGTACCCTTTGCGACTGAGTTTCAGGCCCTTTTCCGGGGGAACAAGTTTAGATTTTAGATGAAAAGAAGCATGTGAGGGTGATGGAGGAACGTTGTATGTGATGTGCTGAGGTGAAAAAATAGGTTCCTCTTACTTACAATTCTTCCAAACTGAGCAAGCCTTGTTTGATAAAACGTTCATATTACACGGCTAAGTTTGAAGTAAATGAACAACAATTCAAATGTGCTAATTTTTCTCACTTGCATGGACTTTTGACTAAAATCGTCTTTTATGTCAACCTCTAATGATGCCTTTTCAAGTAGAATAAGCTCATTATTTTTAGACTGATGTTTAAAGTATTTTCCTAGTTTCTTCTATGATACAGGTATGGGATCTAAGTAATTATATGAGTTAGCATAAGTCAGACATAGTGTACATGCTCCATAAATCTTAGCAATTAATTTAACCTGATTTAAGGATGTATCGACATCTACTTACAAATGAAAATTAGGTGGACGATCCTGGGTATGTATATAAGCAAGACCAAAATGAAGATAATGAGCAGAAAACTGTGGAGGTTTGTAGTATGATGAACAAAGTCCTTAGGATGAAAGTTTTCTAAAAATCTAAAGCAAAGTCATTGTTAGTGCAAGGATGCTGGGAAGTAAACTAAGTGGTTTCAGTATTAGTGTCTGGTTTACAGTGTAGATTTTGTTTATTTTTTCATTCTCCTAATAGACTGGGCTATTTGGGGATGCTATCCTGGGAGGGCTAGCATTCTTCTTGAATTAATATTTCATATGCCCCAATGGAATTGCATAATCGTAGTGATAGAGTTTATTTCATACACTTAAGAGGAGAAATTTCCCTTCATTCGTGAAAAGATTCGCTTTAGGAAATGTGATAGAGTTCTGTGAGAACCTTGAAAGATGTTTTTTAAAAAGCATTGATTCGCTGTTTCTTGGTGACATTTGAAGAAGCTTTTATACAAACAGTGAAACTTTGACAATATCCCAGGAACTGAGCAAAAACAAAGTAAAACCGACTCTTCTTACCTTGATGGTCTTTGCTCTCGGCCTTTTGCGGTGGGTGCGTTTACTGTCTCGGCAGTATCGCTGCTCTCGTTACGGAAGCTGTGGTACCAGACGGCGATCCTGGCAAACCCCCATCCCAGCTACTCTCGGCAGCATCACAGCCTCTATGCTGACTCTTTTTACTCAAACTCCACATTTTGCCAAATTTCAGCACCCTCTTGAAGACAAGATACCCCAGGTTGTGAGCCATCTAATTTTTCATTCAGGCTATAAAAGTTGGCAATCCTAGTGGTATCACACCTAATAAAATACCAATTTTAAAATGCCATTGTGCAAATGAAAAAAAACCTACCTCTCTTGTAGAATAAGTTTGTTCTCCTTCTTCCAAAAGTCTTTGAAGTCAGAGCTGAATTCATGCCAGATACTGAAAAAAACATTTGGGGACACCTCCTTCTCTCCAAGTTTTGGTTTCATGAAGAAATAGGCTGTAGTCTCCAAAAAGCTGTCAAAGCACACACACACATACACAACAGAGCATAAAAGCTATGATTACTTTCCAATATGAGATTTCTTTCTTCATCCAAATGCTGATTTCATTCATGCACAGTTATTATTACCAAGAGGATGCAAACTCTTCAGGCACCCACAGTAGTTCTCTTATGGTTTCATGTTAGAGTTTTGGATACAGATAGTAGCAGCATCAGCTACTACTCTGTATACTGAGAACTCTCCCTGGTTCAATTCTATTTTCAGAATTAATCACTATGTGTCCAACATATTTCAGAAATGAACCTGTAGCCAAGCTGAGCCTACTGGGAATGGTGGGTTTGTCTTTCTTTCTACACTCTAAACAAACGAAATATCAGCCATTTGTCCCCAAACCAATATATGTATTGTAGATGTTTATTATATTGCTTACATACTATTTCGCTTCCTATATTGCCAAGAGAAAGAAAGCAAAAGTCCTGGGATATGCTGACAGTCTCCCATCAGAGATCATGGTGATATTGTTGAGTGGAGACCAATATGGCAGCCAGGAGTATGACAGCAGATCGACAGTCTTTGGAATGTGCTACTTGGAGGCTGCTTCATATTACGACTACATAAAGCTCAGAAGAGTTTCAAAATGATTATTTGACATAGAATGTAGAAGTAGTAAATAACAGATCTACAACTTAACAAAAGTCATCCATCCTCATGAACAATGCCCTGAAAAGGACCTGGGCCAGCATGATTTTTGCTCCATTTTGCTTTATTCTGAAGTAAAAATTTCTAAGGCAACTTGATTTTGCCATATTGTGCTGTTTGATTAAAAATATATGTACACACAGACGCACACTTTCATATTCTGTCATATATTCAGCTTGTCATATAGCTGATTTCAAATTCCTACTATGAAAAAAATATGAAAAACATCTCATTGAGATGAGCATTACAAAATCAGATGTGGAGGGAGAATCTGCTCTGAAGGTAAAGGAGACTGGGCCATCACACATAACATAAAGAACCCCAGGCACCCTGACTGTGGGTCCCCACACGTGGCTCATCTGCTCTGTTTTAACTCTTGCCTTATGGCTGTCTCTGAGCAGCAAGATTCCCAGGGAAACCAGATTCTGGGGAGAAATAAAAGCACTGATTTGATCCAACGTGTGACTTAAGGAAATAATATATTTCTCTCTTCTTAGCCTAGTAGGAAAAATGACACTATATAGTCAATCCTGAGAGTCAGGCTGTGAAGTAGATATGGTATGTGAGAATTTGTCTGCCACAAGCTATGGTAATGACATTAGAATGTGTCTGCAAAATGTTTTGATGATGTGAAGACTGCCGGGAGAGTAGATGGCAGAGAGTATAGTCTAAAACATATCTGGGTCATATTTTATTAAAAATGATAAAGTACACTCATACTTCCCTCCTGGGAAAACCAGTCATTCTCATTAAATGCCCAAAGACTATTTATGACCTGTATGGCTGAAATTAGGTCAGAAATCCTCTGACTATCCATTTATCCTTTTTCATCATTTCTCTGGTATCCATGATTCATAAAACTGATTATTACAGACCAAGCTATTCCTTTTGGACAGATATATCTAAATTGTAATAGCTGGTTCATTAATTCAGCCATCTTAAAACATTTTGAAAGTTCCATCACAAGGTGGAATGGTGTAAAGGAAAAAATATAGGACTTAGAATAAGAAGACATAGGACACTAAATCCTGATTCCTTGACTAGCTGGTTAATGAGCAAATCATTTAACATCATTGGGACCCAGCTTTTTCATCTGCAAACAAGAGTACCATAAACAACTGTTTTGAAGTTCAATGGAAAAAATAAATTTCCACAGAGTTTATTGAATGTTTTAACACAAGACGAACTTATTTTATATAGCATATTATTTTACATTACATTTATTGTATATTGTACATTAAAGAGATGTAAATATGTATTTCCTAAAAAAGTCTCTAAATTGTAACTAATTCAATTGGGGCTTATTTATAAATAGATACTCATGTGATCATGTTCCCTTTGAGTTACTGGCATGCAGAGAGGCTTCTGATAGTAGTAATAATTATTCTATTAAATTTTCTCTTGGCTTTTTTATAAATTGCCCACATAGCTTTAAGAAGGTAACAACTTTTGATCTTTAGTTTCTTCATCTGTAAAGTGGAGGCTATGCCTGCTTTTCAAGGTTGTTATGAAGAGTAAATGAAAAGCACTTTGCAAATTATAAACCAAAATAGCAATATATGTATTAATTTTATAAGAGGAAAGCATTTTTCACTAAAAGTACTCTTTGAGCAAAACTTTATAAATTTCTAAGACAAATTAGTGTCCTATAAATGACTTATTGATTTATTTATTAAAGCCAATGTATGAAACTGATCGATAGCATGATTCTTAATGAAGAAGAGCTGTGTCCACATTTCTTTGGAAGTGGCTGTGGTTAAAAAAAACAAAAACAAAACAAAACAAAAAAAAAACAAGTGTCACTTAAGAGTGTAACAGGAGAGTAAAGAATTATCTGAGGATCACGAGTGCTGTTCCAACTGTGTTCAACCACCTCATTCCCAAAATAAAGTATAAATACTTTTCAAAAATAACCAAGCAAATGATAGGGCAGTAATTTCTACAATTTATCAAAGTGCCTTGTATTACAAAAGCATTTTCAGTTATATAATCCTGTCCAGCATTTGTCGGCATTCAGTTAATTCACTTATATGATACCCATTTAGGTGACAGATGGTAGGAAGAGGTTCCACCCCTTCTGAATCATCTAAATCAGAAACCAGGAGAGTCTCATCCACCATGGAGCAATACGGGATCACTAAAGAGGACAGATGTCTTATCTGGGACCTTCCTTACTACACAGGCTATTCTGAGACTCTCTTGAAATAACCATGGCACACTAGGAGCCAGCAGTAAAAAAGAAGAGTAGTTATAACACTAAGGAACTGCTATAGTCACAATAAGAGACAACACCAGAGAAATCTCTAATATGGATTGTTAAATGGCTCTTTCTGTAAAAGATAAGCATCACATTTTTTTTCACTGCAAACATCACACAGTGTAAATAAATGTACTGTTCTGCAACAGGAAACAAGAGGAGCCACGGAGTTCTGAAAACACGACTTCAGCAGCAGAATTGTTTTGGAACTTCCCTGAATCCCCACATATAGAGAACGCAACTGAGATATTAAAATCAAAACTCACAGAAAAATACCTAAAAAAACCCCACTGTGTTCAATATTCCCATAAAACTCAAAATGCAAATAGGTGAGGCAAACCACTGATAGCACAGAAGTAATGGGGTACATCATTTGTATAGGAAGAGGCAGAGGGAAACAGCAGGGGACTCCCCTAAAAACTGGAGTTCCCTGAATCACAAACAGTAGTTCTGAAAAGTGTAGGAGCCAATCTGAGAACCACTGCTGTAGCTGGAAGGGGTTTTTGCACACCTGAATGCATGGAAGAGAAGATCCATAGTAAGTTTGAAAGGGCTCAGAGCAGTCTGGGATACATGAACTTTTACTAACCAAGAGAAACTCGCTCTTAGGGCACAGTTCTATATTGAGAGAAGATGCTGGGAGTAGAATTCAAATTGTGCAGGATAAATGCAAGGACAAAATGCAGATATATTGGAGGGGAGAAAATTGTAGACAGTATGAGGTCATTTTTTAATCATTTTGCACAAGCAACAAAAGAGGACGTTTCTAAACAGGAAAACTAAAAAGCTATCCTCGTTCATTACTGCCTTCTAAGAAAGTTCAATAAAACTGAATACATGTAAAAAATAAGACAGATTAAAAGACTGCAGTGGAAAAATGCATGCCATTCAAACACTAAGCATAGCAAAGTTGATGTGGTTTTATTTATTATCAGACCAGGCTTCACGAAAAAGAATATTATCTGTCTACGGCCATGCTATCCTGAACAAGCCTGATCCCGTCTGATCTCAGAAGCTAAGCTGGGTTGGGCCTGGTTAGTACTTAGATGGGAGACCACCTTAGGAAGACCAGGTGTTGTAGGCATAAAAAATAAAAAAATAAAAGATTGTAAACTGACAAGGTCCTTGCAATCTGTGAGGTCAACCAAGGGTTGCCTCGCCTAAATAAAAAAAAAGGTTATTATCAGAGAATTATTTTATAATGATAAAAATGAAATTTTTAGGAATACATAACAATCCTAAATATGTATGAGTGTAATAAAAGAGCTTCAAAATATATAAAGCAAAATGCTCTTTTCTCAATAACTAACAGAAGCAGAAAAAAAATCACTAAAGATATAGAAGATTTGAATATTTAAACATATTGACCTAATTTACAAAGCATTGTAATCAAAACAGTAGAATACATAAAAGCGCATGAAAACATTCACCAACACTGGCTGCATGCTGAGTCACAAAACAAGTTTCAATAAATTTCAAAGGACTGAAATTACCTAGACTATGTTCTCTGACCACAGTGGCTCCAAAGTATATAATAAAAATAATATATCTAGGAAATCTCCAATTTGGAAATTAAGTAAAACTGTATTAGTAACCAAGGGTCAAAAAAGTAATGAAAAAATTAGAAAATATTTCAAACTGAATAAAAATGAAAACATAAAATTTCAAAATATGGAACCAGAGAGGGGAGTATCTTTATCTTTAGATGGATTAGAGAGAAATTTAGAGCTTTAAAATCCTGTATTAGAAAAACGAAGGTCTAAAACAATAATGTAGGCATCTAATTCAAGAATCTAAAGAGAAGTAAGTTAAACTCAATTAAGTAGAAGATTGGAAATAATAAAAAGAGTGGAAAACAAAGAAAAGAAAACAAACCTTACAGAAGATCAGCAAGTCAGTCAGTTTACTGAAAGGTTTAATAAAATTGATAAGCCTCTATCAAAATTGATTTAAAAAGAAAAAGAAAATATAAATTATCAATACCATCGATTAAAGCCAGGTCATTATTACAGTGCATAGAGGCCTTGAAAGTATAATATATTATAAAAAATCTGATG